GGGGGGTGGAGGGCAGCAACAGAGGGGGTGGAGGGCAGCAACAGAGGGGGGTGGGGGGCAGCAACAGAGGGGGTGGAGGGCAGCAACAGAGGGGGGTGGAGGGCAGCAACAGAGGGGGGTGGAGGGCCGCAACAGAGGGGGTGGAGGGCAGCAACAGAGGGGGTGGAGGGCAGCAACAGAGGGGGGTGGAGAGCAGCAACAGAGGGGGGTGGAGGGCCGCAACAGAGGGGGTGGAGGGCAGCAACAGAGGGGGGTGGAGGGCAGCAACAGAGGGGGGTGGAGGGCAGCAGCAGAGGGGGGTGGAGGGCAGCAACAGAGGGAGGTGGAGGGCAGCAACAGAGGGGGGTGGAGAGCAGCAACAGAGGGGGGTGGAGGGCAGCAACAGAGGGGGGTGGAGGGCAGCAGCAGAGGGGGGTGGAGGGCAGCAACAGAGGGAGGTGGAGGGCAGCAACAGAGGGGGGTGGAGGGCAGCAACAGAGGGGGTGGAGGGCAGCAACAGAGGGGGGTGGAGGGCAGCAACAGAGGGGGGTGGAGAGCAGCAACAGAGGGGGGTGGAGAGCAGCAACAGAGGGGGGTGGAGGGCAGCAACAGAGGGGGGTGGAGAGCAGCAACAGAGGGGGGTGGAGAGCAGCAACAGAGGGGGGTGGAGGGCAGCAACAGAGGGGGGTGGAGAGCAGCAACAGAGGGGGGTGGAGGGCAGCAACAGAGGGGGGTGGAGAGCAGCAACAGAGGGGGTTGGAGAGCAGCAACAGAGGGGGGGTGGAGGGCAGCAACAGAGGGGGGTGGAGAGCAGCAACAGAGGGGGGTGGAGGGCAGCAACAGAGGGGGGTGGAGAGCAGCAACAGAGGGGGGTGGAGGGCAGCAACAGAGGGGGGTGGAGAGCAGCAACAGAGGGGGGTGGAGGGCAGCAACAGAGGGGGGTGGAGGGCAGCAACAGAGGGGGGTGGAGGGCAGCAACAGAGGGGGGTGGAGGGCAGCAACAGAGGGGGGTGGAGGGCAGCAACAGAGGGGGGTGGAGGGCAGCAACAGAGGGGGGTGGAGGGCAGCAACAGAGGGGGGTGGAGGGCAGCAACAGAGGGGGGTGGAGGGCAGCAACAGAGGGGGGTGGAGGGCAGCAACAGAGGGGGGTGGAGAGCAGCAACAGAGGGGGGGGGTGGAGGGCAGCAACAGAGGGGGGTGGAGGGCAGCAACAGAGGGGGGTGGAGGGCAGCAACAGAGGGGGGGGGGGTAAAGGGACCTGGCCCGTCTGGGTGGCAACAGCCATTGTTGCCAACACGGTGTCACTCTTTTCTCCAGGAATGTGTTCGTGTATTTATTATTTGTACCTACAAGATCTGTGTTGGTGGGGGTGAGTGGGAGGGGGTGAGTGGGAGGGGGGGTGAGTGGGAGGGGGGGTGAGTGGGAGGGGGGTGAGTGGGAGGGGGGGTGAGTGGGAGGGGGGTGAGTGGGAGGGGGGGTGAGTGGGAGGGGGGGTGAGTGGGAGGGGGTGAGTGGGGGGGGGGTGAGTGGGGGGGGGGTGAGTGGGAGGGGGGTGAGTGGGAGGGGGGTGAGTGGGAGGGGGTGAGTGGGAGGGGGTGGGGAGGGTGGTGAGTGGGAGGGGGGTGAGTGGGAGGGGGGTGAGTGGGAGGGGGGTGAGTGGGAGGGGGTGAGTGGGAGGGGGGGGGGTGAGTGGGAGGGGGGTGAGTGGGAGGGGGGTGAGTGGGAGGGGGGTGAGTGGGAGGGGGGTGAGTGGGAGGGGGGTGAGTGGGAGGGGGGTGAGTGGGAGGGGGGGTGAGTGGGAGGGGGGTGAGTGGGAGGGGGTGAGTGGGAGGGGGTGAGTGGGAGGGAGGAGAGTAAACTTGACAGTACTGAAGCATTAAGCCTCCAAAGTGTTAGCCAGCTTAACCATTACTGAAGTGAACATTCGAGTCGTAACTACTACTCCGCTTTAGAGCGCTTCCTCCTCAACCCTTGCACAACTAGCTATCCCTGGAACGCAACCCGTCACTGGTCTACAACCATGTTCCTAGTTACTGCAACCCGTCCTCACACTAGGCTGGTTAAAGCAGCGGCCGGCCGCCCCATAAGCATTCATCAATTTTAACACACTGAGTATTAGACATTGGTTAATTCTCATATATAAATTTATATATATTATACATACAACCCACGTAAGTTCAGCACTGGCAGCCCATCCTCGTAGGTCAGAGAGTCCATGCGGGTGCCGCGTACACTTCATGACTCAAGCCTTGGTTGTGTATTGCGTTCTGAAGGTTTCAAGAGACTGTGGATGTGCGCGCATGCGTGTGGATGTGCGCGCATGCGTGTGGATGTGCGCGCATGCGTGTGGATGAATCTACTAACTGCGATAGTGAATCGCAGTTAGTGGGTTATTAACGACCCGTTGCTTACAAGCACAAGGTAATTAGCATAGTGGCAGTCTGCCCATTCAACCCGTTCTCGCAAATTCGTAAAGTCAATATTGACTTATTAAATAAGTGCATAGGTGACATACTAAACATAATAGATACCCTTAAAAAGCTTCATAGAAAACACCGACCTTACCTAACCTTGTTAGTATGTTAAGATAAGCATCTTATTGCTTCGTAATTACAATTATTACCTAACCTATAATAGGTATAGGTTAAGTAATAATTGTAATTACGAAGCAATAAGATGCTTATCTTAAGATACTAACAAGGTTAGGTAAGGTCGGTGTTTTCTATGAAGCTTTTTAAGGGTATCTATTATGTTTAATATATCACCTATGCACTTATTAAATAAGTCAATATTGACTATTCGAATTTGCGAGAACGGGTTGGCCCATTAAGGGGGGTAGTTAAGGACTCAACCAGGTCATTACACACCCAACACCAGCACATAAGCCTAATCCTCCTCTTAAAGCTCCATCCCCCCCCCCTCCCCATGACGCAGCCCAAACTGCGTCACCTAACGCAGCCCAAACTGCGTCACCTAACGCAGCCCAAACTGCGTCACCTAACGCAGCCCAAACTGCGTCACCTAACGCAGCCCAAACTGCGTCACCTAACGCAGCCCAAACTGCGTCACCTAACGCAGCCCAAACTGCGTCACCTAACGCAGCCCAAACTGCGTCACCTAACGCAGCCCAAACTGCGTCACCTAACGCAGCCCAAACTGCGTCACCTAACGCGTCGCATTCACCAATCCGTTTCAAATACGACGTATGTGTAAAAAAAAAAATACGTTTTCTATACATCGTCCTCGGTAGGTTAGGTTAGGGTGCCTGGGGTTCATATACATATTATGTATAAACAGTTGCAATTTTTTACGGAGTGGTAGATCGAAGGTGCGTATTTGCCCAACCAGTTCTGCTTTGATTCATATTATAAAAAAGGAGTGAATTATATTCAGTGTTGACTTCCCAATTTATAATATTTTTTTATTGAAATTCATTAATCAAAATAATTAGCATATTTTACACAGTCATCAATCATGCCGACATTTTGTCGTTAATAGTTAACGGTCTCGGCCACGCTCAAATGACCACGTCCCAGTCGTTAATATATATTTAGGAAGCCTTGAATCACACTATGGTCCTGGTAAGGAACACAAGGTGTCTAACACTAGACATAATGTCTTCTAACACAAGGTGTCTAACACTAGACATAATGTCTTCTAACACAAGGTGTTCAACACTAGACATAATGTCTTCTAACACAAGGTGTCTAACACTAGACATAATGTCTTCTAACACAAGGTGTCTATCACTAGACATAATGTCTTCTAACACAAGGTGTCTATCAGTAGACATAATGTCTTCTAACACAAGGTGTACCATTAACTAACCACAATTGAATCAAGACAGATGAAGATAGACAGAGATTACAGGACGACCTGGACAAACTGGAGGAATGCTCTTGAAAATGGCTACTAAAGTTCAACTCAGGAAAGTGTAAAGTAATGAAATTAGGCGAAGGGAGCAGGAGACTGAACACAAGGTATCATCTGGGAGGTGATATCCTGTAAGAGTCAAATAGAGAGAAGGATCTGGGGGTTGATATCACACCGAACTTGTCCCCAGAGGCCCACATCAAAAAAATATCATCAGCGGCATATGCTAGACTGGCCAACATAAGAACTGCCTTTAGAAACTGGTGTAAGGAATCGGTCAGGACCCTGTATACCACTTATGTCAGACCATTCCTGGAATATGCAGCTCCAGCCTGGAGTCCATACCTAGTTAAACACAAAAAGTTAGAAAAGATTCAGCGGTATGCCACCAGGCTCGTCTCGGAACTGAGAGGAATGAGCTACGAGGAAAGTCTAAAGTAGTTGAACCTCACGTCCCTGGAAAACAGAAGAGTTAGGAGACATGATAACCACCTACAAAATTCTCAGGGGAATTGACAGGGTGGACAAAGACACACTCTTCAGCACGGGTGGGACACGAACAAGGGGACACAGGTGGAAACTTAGTACCCAGATGAGCCACAGGGACTTTAGAAAGAATTTTTTTCAGTGTCAGAGTAGTTAATAAATGGAACGCATTAGGCAGTGATGTGGTGGAGGCTGACTCCATACACAGTTTCAAGTGTAAATATGATAGAGCCCAGTAGGCTCAGAAATCTGTACACCAGTTGAATGACAGTTGAGAGGCGGGACCAAAGAGCCAGAGCTCAACCCCCGCAAACACAACTAGTTGAGTACACACACACACACACACACAACCAGGTGAGGCGCTGGTGCCCAAGACCAGCCTAAGAAAGCCCAGTGTTCCAGCCTGTAGAGTGGACCAAACTGTTCCAATTTGAGGTGAACTAATTATAACTTGTCAATAAATCCAATTTCCTGCCGAGTCAATCCGACGAAGAAAATCATTCTTTTGTCCAAAAGTCATCCAACAGTTCATGGGAACTTTCATTTCATACAGAAAGGAAAATTTTGATTTTATTTAGGATTACTTTCATGTATAGGTTTCTTGTCACTCTTTTTATCTAAGTCCCAGTTAATCCAGCATCCAAGTTAATTGAGATGCTGCCTCAGATGCTGGCGTCGTAATAAGAGATGTTGACATCATAATAAGACATGTTGACATCATAATAAGACATGTTGACATCATAATAAGACATGTTGACATCATAATAAGAGATGTTGACATCATAATAAGAGATGTTGACATCATAATTAGAGATGTTGACATCATAATTAGAGATGTTGACATCATAATAAGACATGCTGACATCATAATAAGACATGTTGACATCATAATAAGACATGTTGACATCATAATTAGAGATGTTGACATCATAATAAGACATGTTGACATCATAATAAGACATGTTGACATCATAATAAGACATGCTGACATCATAATAAGACATGTTGACATCATAATAAGACATGCTGACATCATAATAAGACATGTTGACATCATAATAAGACATGTTGACATCATAATAAGACATGTTGACATCATAATAAGACATGTTGACATCATAATAAGACATGTTGACATCATAATAAGACATGCTGACATCATAATAAGACATGTTGACATCATAATAAGACATGCTGACATCATAATAAGACATGTTGACATCATAATAAGACATGTTGACATCATAATAAGACATGTTGACATCATAATAAGACATGTTGACATCATAATAAGACATGTTGACATCATAATAAGACATGTTGACATCATAATAAGACATGCATGTTGACATCATAATGACATCATAATAAGACATGTTGACATCATAATAAGACATGTTGACATCATAATAAGACATGTTGACATCATAATAAGACATGTTGACATCATAATAAGACATGTTGACATCATAATAAGACATGTTGACATCATAATAAGACATGTTGACATCATAATTAGAGATGTTGACATCATAATAAGACATGCTGACATCATAATAAGACATGCTGACATCATAATAAGACATGTTGACATCATAATAAGACATGTTGACATCATAATAAGACATGTTGACATCATAATTAGAGATGTTGACATCATAATAAGACATGCTGACATCATAATAAGACATGCTGACATCATAATAAGACATGTTGACATCATAATAAGACATGTTGACATCATAATAAGACATGCTGACATCATAATAAGACATGTTGACATCATAATAAGACATGTTGACATCATAATAAGACATGTTGACATCATAATAAGAGATGTTGACATCATAATAAGACATGCTGACATCATAATAAGACATGCTGACATCATAATAAGACATGTTGACATCATAATAAGACATGTTGACATCATAATAAGACATGTTGACATCATAATAAGACATGTTGACATAATAAGACATGTTGACATCATAATAAGACATGTTGACATCATAATAAGACATGTTGACATCACACAAACAAGCAAGAAGCAATTACTCGACAGCTATAAAAAACAGAAACAGACCTTTTCAACAAATTAAATTCCAAATTGCATTTAAAGCAACTTGCATATCAAGAATAAAATGCAGACGTTGAAAAATGGCGAAAGAATTCATAAGAGAATGAAAAGGAAATGTGTGACACACTCAATGAACCAAGTGTGGATTTGCAAAATAAAGATTTCAGAAAGCCTGACACGACTTTTCAGAGAACACTGAGTACACATAGCAAGTGTCTCGGAGTAGAGAAACTGCTCAAGGAGCTAGGAAGTAAGAAAGCAGTTGGGCGAAGTGCAATGTCACCTTGAGGTCCCAAGGGAATGCGCATCTGAGTTAAGCATTTCCTTTCTTTACGTTGAGTAAACCTAGTTTTAAAATACAAAAATGGTAGCAGAGAGAACCCTCTGACTTACATACCCGTATCGCTGACAACAGAGGTAGTCAAATCACTAGATAAATGAATACCAAATGGGTAGAACACCTGGTTAAAGGTGACAAAGTAACAGTTTGGCTTTCGGCATGGACGATCCTGTGCAACATATGTGCCTGTGTTTATGATAGAACTGCAGAGAACTTGTAGGAAATAGATGGTTGGGTTGACTGCATTTATCAGGACCTTTAAAAAGGCTTTTGACCGAGTCCCAAACAAGAAGTTGTTTTGTATGCTGAAACATGCTTGAGAGGTGACAGGAAGACTTCATATGGATGAAAACATTTTCTGACAGGAAAATAGAGCCGGTAACCTGAGGCAATGTCTCAGATTGAAATAATATTACTAGCGGAGTACCTTATCTTGAGTTACCTTGAGGTGCTTCCGGGGCTTAGCGTCCCCGCGGCCCGGTCGTCGACCAGGCCTCCTGGTTGCTGGACTGATCAACCAGGCTGTTGGACGCGGCTGCTCGCAGCCTGACGTATGAGTCACAGCCTGGTTGATCAGGTATCCTTTGGAGGTGCTTATCCAGTTCTCTCTTGAACACTGTGAGGGGTCGGCCAGTTAACCCTGAGTACCACAGGGCTCAGTTCTTGCACCAGTAATGTTCACCGTCAACATAAACCATCAACCAGAAGGAATACAGAATTATATGAACATGTTTGCTGATGTTAATTAAGCTGCTGGAGCAGATCATGCCCTACAAAATGACCTGGACAAAATAAGGTTATGGAACAACACTTCGCAAATGATATTCAACGTGACTAACTGCCACGTCTGGAATATAGAATAGGAGAAAATAGGCCACACTCTACAAAGATATCCGGGCATG